CTGCAAAGTTCCAGAGGAACTGAAATGGTGTGAGTTTCAGAAGACGGGATCTGACCAGGGTAATGGACAGATGTAGCTTAAAGAAGTATCACCCTTACCTTTGAAAACTAGATAGTTTTTAAAAATATTTTATTCAGTCTACAAGAGGAGGGTCAGCTCAGAGGAAACATCTCACCCATGCCTCCAAGCGAAGCCAGCCATGGTCGAGCAGGACCTTTGACTTATCTTCACATAGGTAGAACTGGTAAAAGAAAGGAGCCAGGAACTCCTCCCAAGCCCATGTGATCCCTGAGGAACAGATCTTTAAATGACCTTAAGTGTGAAAATGAATTGATTTATTTGGGCCAATTGTATGGTCTTAAATACCCAAAAGGAAAGTCTAACTGAAGAGTAAAGTCATCAATATATTTCTTTAAGAGTTCAAGGGATTGCACTTCCCAGACATTAGGCTTAAGTCCACATAAAAAGTTACTTAGACAATTATTTCTCATTGATGATTTTGTTCTAAATCAGAAAATGCTTCTCAGCATTCAAATCTTGGTCTCCAATACTGTAGTGCCCACCTGTAGCTAAGGGAGATAACCTGCTAGTGTTTTAAAATGATGGATAAATTTGTTTTCTCCCCCTAGCTAGAAGCCTTTGAGAGGGAACTGACACTGATTCTAGCCACTCCAACAGCTGTCAATGTGCCTGAAAGCAAATCCTGAATCCATCACTCTAGAATCCAGCCTTGGAAGACAAAAGGAAAATGAGGAGGAACCCAATAGAGGGATGCTTTTGGAAACTCTAGTCAAGAAATTCCAATGGACTGTCATATGAACATTTGAAGTTTGCCCTATTTTGACTTTTTTCTAGTTCCCTGTCTGGAACTTGCAATGCTAATTACTCTTGCCTTTACTTCTCCTTCACATCTCCTAGTCATGATTCAAGGATTTTCTTTTCCCCTTAGAGACAAGAGTTATACAATTTGGGAGTCTTTTAGCTAGATCCACCAAAAGGGAACTCCAGCTGCCTCACCCTGTGTCCCTGTTCAGCATGGAAGAAGCCAGAGTGGTCTGTGTCCTAATTCCCTATTGGCAATTTGGGTAACCACTTCATTGGATGGTGTGATAAGAATAGAATGTAGTAATTGGCTAGACAGCTAGGGTAAAAAGACACCAAAGAAAAGTAGCCAGCTCCTTGGCTAAAAGTCAAAATGTCCTTGGGCCTCTTAGCAACATACTCCATTCCAAAAGCCAAAAATCTCAAAAGCATTTGGGAGCGCTTATCTAATCCTTAAAAGATTTTAGGACTACCTCTTCAGAGGGGGGGGATGTTAGGGTAGTAAAAAGCCCCATAAAAAAAAACAAAAAGAAGAAAGAGTACATGAAGTTATCAGAAAAAAAGTGATGGGGAGATATAGGAGGAGTTGGAGGGAGGGAGTGGGCATGGACTTGATCAAAACACATTATATGCTTATATCCCTGTATAGAATTCTCAATAAGTGCTTCTGCCAAAGATATTAGCCCTTTTCTACTGTGGTTGCAACCCTATGATGGTTATATGAGCAAGTCTGAGCTAGGCCAACAGGAAGACTGTGTGTAGAACAGTCCAGCCAGCCGCCTGCCTATGCCCAGCCAGCCAATTGCCAGATGTGACAAAGCTGTCATTGACTATGCAGCCCCAATGAAGTCACTAGGTGATCATGGAGTCATGAATGACTCCAAGAGAAGTCAGCAGCAGACTCACCCGGATGCTAACATCTAAATTACTGACCACAGAATCATGAGCAAGCCGTGAAGGTTGGGTGGTCTGCAGTGCAGCCGGAGGCAATGGACATAGAAGGCATTTTACAAGTGATGGGTTCTTTTCCGCAGGTCTCTTCCCACCGTACCTTTAGGGGATAATTTTCGGCTTTGCCCATCTAACCTTTATTTCACTTTCTCCTGTTAGCTGCAGATAAGCATTCCCTAAAGCAACAAACCCTAAAAGCAAACATTCAGATAGGTCTCAGTTGTCTGAAACTGCATTTCCAGGGGCTCCCACATCCTCCTCTGGCCTCTATAGGCACGGCACGCACATAGAGTGCACACAGACACACATACATTTACATAAATAAAACTATATTAAATCTTAGAAACTTAAAAATGAAGCACTATGAAAAGCAAGGAATGTGACTGGTCCGAAGGCTGCCCAAACGCCTTAATTCAATATGTTCTGAGCGGGGCCAACATCACTGGAAAGAGATGGCATCAAAGTATATTGGGTAAGTTCCCTTGATGGGCTAAGTTTGAGTTTGCAGCACTCGGCAGAGATTAGAGCTCACAGCTGCTTGGGAAAACTGTGATGTTTCTGCTCATCTGCGTCTGTCATGCGGGGAAAAGAAATGGATGGCGAATGTCTTTTCCTACATCTCACGCTGTTCACTAGCCATTTACCGGCTCTTTTTCAGCTGAAACCTGAGTCAGGGAGGCCTGTGGTTCCTGTCTAGTCCTAACACCTGGCATCCAGGCTGGTGCTGGTCTCTAAGAGCTCTGTTCATGCCTGAAGACGCACTTCAGTCTAACAGCTCTGGTGTTGCCATTCTGTGCGTTCACGGCAATTCCAAGCCCATAAATGCCAACTCTGCATTAAAACACATTGAGACGCTCCTGGTTTCTCTTGTGTATTAAAGGTTTTATGCATTCAAAATATATGAGTGTATGGCCAGAGGCGGGCACACAATCAGCACACCACTACCACACAAGACTGCCATGTACGAACGGCAGCTTTGGAATTTCAATTCCAGTGGTTCTGCCATGCCTAGTAACTGATCAGCAGCACAATAATGATATACCACAAAATGATGATGAGGAGGAGGATGCACCATGATGACAGGGATACACCACGAAATGATCATGATGACGGGGATACACCACGAAATGATCATGATGATGGGGATACACCACGAAATGATGATGATGATGATGGGGATACACCACGAAATGATGAGGAGGAGGATATAAATGATGATGATGATGATGACGGGGATACACCATGAAATGATGATCATGATCACGGGGATACACCAGGAAATGATCATGATGATGATGGGGATACACCATGAAATGATC